AACCCCGCCAAGCCTTGGAACACACAACCACAACCCTTGCTTACAGGCTTCAGATGCTTCAGGCTTGCACATCCTGCCTAGTCCATTGTACTTGGCACGCTCTTGAAAGCCTTCCCCACTCCACGAAGCGAGCACCACCATGGAAACTTGTTCGTGCCGGAGCCCGCTTTGCATCAGGCGAATACACTGAACATTTTTGTGCATGCCTTCCAAATCCAAGCCAACCCAGGCCTGCCCTTCCGTACACACATCGTTCACACAGTGAGCTTGCCAATACGACGTGTTGTCTTTGTCAAAAGCTTTGTGTGGGTTCATATGTCCACTGAATCTGTCTGAAAGCACGGCATCCTCGGCCGACGAAATAGGCGTTCCGACGATGGGATCACCGCGGCATGCCAGATCGGTGTACAGTTCCAGCTCAAAGACCACCCAGGTCACGACAGATGCCACGTTCTGAAGCCTCCACAAAGAGTTCACGGGCGCTGGCCTTCTCTGGAAGCCTTGCCCACCCAGAGATGGCCTTAATTCAGTTCTATGGCAGATCTAGGCTTCAAACTCTAAAGCAGTCATGGCTTTGGCTTGGAGAAGGCGCAGTTTCTCTCTGTCCCGCTCCTCGTTTTTTGAAAGGGTCGTGAGTGCCAGTGCTGCGATGTCCACAAGACCTGACAAGCCTCTCAAGGAGCGCTCGTTTCACCTTCATGAAAACTTCCTCAAAGAACATCAGAAGTGTAGATGCCCAAACTCAAAAATCATCTCAGGGTATTATCCCTACTGTGGGAACGTCTAAAGACCTGCACCTGCCGAATCCAAGAGGTGGCAGTGGCAAGAAGACTGCTCTTGCCTTCAAACTTGGGATCTGTCTTAGTACAACCAGCCGGTGGGGTGTGAGCTTCAGTAAGCATATGCACCATATGCACCCATGCTACCCGGCATCTGAGGGAGCGGCAAGGGGAGAAGAAGAGTAGAGTCCATGCTGAAGATAGAAGTGGAGCCAGCAACTGCAGAATTCCAAGTGCTGCCGCTCCAGCCCTGCAGCTCCCCATAGCTCGGCTGAAGGGCTCGAATTCCCGGAAAAGCCAGCCGAATGCATTGAACATCTGAAACCTGTGTGGAGAAATCTAAACCCAGCCATGCCCGAGCACCACCAATGTCTGCCCAGAATGTATGCAGCAGCCCGTCGAAAGCCTTCAAAGGGTCTGCAGGTGTCAGCTCGCCCATGCTGGAGTAATGATTGGTGTATCCGGTCTTGTCGCCAACTTCTCTAGCAGTGGCATAGCCGGAACAGATTGGAACAATGTTGGGGACTGCCATTGGGATCCGGTCTGTGCAGTCTGTATTCCTGTAAAGGTGTATCTCAGACACACCTACACCGTGGCCCCCAACTGCTGGGTCAGCGAGGAACCGCCACATGGAGCCGCGGATTCCTGGCAAGACCTGCCAGGCCCCGCCCCCAAGCTCCGTCAGGATTGGGTGATTTTGAGATGCAGTCCACACCAGTCCATCCCAGACTTGCAACACGGCCGAAGACGCCTGGTGGTTCCTGTCCCTGGACTGGTACAGTCGAATACAAGAAACACTGAAGGCCTCCTGCTTTTGTAAACCCAGCCAAGCAGAATTTGCCATGCATCCCTGGTGTCCAGTGAAGGCTGGGGTGCAACTGGTGACCCATTGGGTCATATCGGAGCTGTCAAACGCATCTTCGGATCGGAACTGTATCTCATTTCCATTCGTAATGGGATCGCCGGTATGCGGCACATTGCACACGTCGTCCATGTAGAATGCCAGTCCAGTGATTGTCCACGGGCGAGGAGTGTCTACAATGGTCAGCAGTCGCCACATAGTCGAGACACCACTAGGCCGCCTGTTCCAAGTTCCACCGCCAACTCCAGATTCGAAACGGCGTGTTTCCCAGCTGTCGCCCATCCATTCTGCAAGCTCAATCGCATCGGTGCGGTGTCTGACATCTTCGCTTTGTATCAAACGAAAGCACGCAACGCTCCTAGCATCCGGGAATCTCAAGCCAATCCATGCACGGCGCTGGTCGCATGGAGAGCATGCCGATTCCCAGCCGGTCACAGCTTGCCGATCGAAAGCATTGTCTCCACAACTTCCAAGGTCGGTCCAACAGGCCACCTGCTGCTCATCCGACAAAAGCGCTGGATTTGAGTCCACACTCTCACCCATCATTGGGCTGCCCAAACACTCCGCATCTGAATATAGCTCTAGCTCATATACCCTCCAAGACAACAGGATCCGATCGAAGTTCGCAATTCGCCAGGAAGTATGCTCCTTCGGCATGGTATTGTTCCATCCGCCTTGATCAAGACCACCGAAGAGAGTCCGGTCTTCCCACTTGAAGCCATCCCAACTCTGAAGCAAGATCCTGGACGTGAAGTGCGGATATCCCCATCCCTCGAAGTAGCCCTCGTGCACCGGCTGATTTATTCGTATGCATCGGACTTGCTTTGGAAGGACGTCGAAGTCTAAGCCAATCCAGGCCTCCATTGACGCACATCCCGCCCACTCGTCACAATTGGCAATCCACGTTCCTCTGCACAAACTGCAGCACTCCCTCTTGCCAGTCATAGCTAAACTTATCAATCCTAAGAGATAGACAGCATTCGTAGACATGAATTTATTTCTTGACAAGCTGTGTACAACGTCTGGTCGGAACAGGCCAGCACGGAACCGGAAGGAACTGAAAAGTCGAGGTTCCCTCTACCCGAGGCAGTCGATAGCCTGGCATCTTGATACCATCGAAGGCCTTCGATGCAGTATACCGGTCGCAGCTGCGAGTGTCAATGCAATTGTCCAGGAAGGTTGCCCCGTTGGAGATCGGGGTTCCTTGGATGTGGTCAAAGATCTGCAGAAACTAAGTTAGTTTAACGGCAAACATTTTCGCATGGCATGATACCCCAGGAAAGGATGTCCATACCTGATGGTTTGAGAACCTTGGGTGGTGGCTCAAGAGTACTTGACAACAGTTGCATGGAGGGACCCCTTGAGTTGTCGTTGCCAGTTAGGCTGGTTTCAGCACGGAGGAGCTTGAACAAGCGTGAGTTGGGTCGCACATAGTGAGATTTCACAGGGATTGTCCGGTGAGCTGGCCTGTGCAATGTTTGATTCGCGCAAGTTTCATTCCCTCGTCGGATGCATGCCAATCACGGCAACTCCTTGACCGGACCGACAGCGCTGGTGCCAATGTAGGCAACAGAGAGACTCGGAGGCTACTCCCTCAGTCATATTATGTTGCTGGCTGCCACCGTCTGTGCTTGATTGCTCTGGGGGTTGCTGCTTGTCGAACTTTCTAACTGTGTTCAACAGCTGTAGAACCACGGCGCATTCCCCTTTTGTGCATGGCAGCATCTTCGGCAGGCAATACATTTACTGCACGCGTTACTGTACAGTTTGGCAATACATATACTGCTCGCATTCCTGTATAGTTTGACATCCACCCCTGCTGGGTCAGGCCGATGCAACATTCTGCGTAACAACCCCACACCTGCGCCAAGTCATCTTCTCACGTTCAGATGAGTCTCCAAAGGCCTGTTTATCTTCTTCGCAAAAGAGGTCCGTGAAGAACATGACCTCTGCAACCTGCCAGGGCCTTGGCATTGGATCCATGTTCCAGATTCGCCACAGGGATTCCTCGCGAGCTGGCCGGGTGTGCCAAGCCCCACCTGCAAGGTCACCGTAGTCATAAATCACCTGCCAACTGTCGAGCGCCTCGTTCTCCCAGGTGATTATCGCAATTTGGGACGCTTGGCGAGTGGCATTGGGGGACTGGTAGATCCGAGTGCAACGAACTTGCGCGAAGATTTCTACGGGCTCTTTGTTCAGTGGAATGGAATCGCCAATGTTCTTGCCGACCCACTGTGTGTATGGACTGCAGCCACCAAGCAGGACTCTGCAATTTGCTGACCACCTCGTCAAGAGATCACCATCCCAAGCCATGTCTTCAGTATTCCCAGGAAAAGAGGTCATCACGTCAGAAGCTATCGGAAGGCCAACGGGGAATGGTAAGGTGCATTGCGAATCCCAGTAGAACTCCAGCTCATGGACTTCCCAGAACTCTCGCACGTTCGCTGCATTTATCACTGCCCATCTCCTTAGCGATCGGCGTCTGCACTTGACAGTCTTCCAGGCTACGCAAATTGCAGGCAGGCGTACCATCTTTGCCGCCAAGCGTCTTGCCACAAAACGGAGAAACCGTCTCATTGTTTATCCTCTTGTTGTAGCAAATCTCCACTTCTGCTTCCACTGCCTCGAACTTGCCAAAAGACATGCGTGGATGCACACAACATCATCCCTGAGCCAGCCTCGATTGAATTAGCTGGCTGTGCCTTGGACCAGGACACCAGCAGCCGCTGCCAGATGGCAGTTCAAGTTGCAACTGCTGCTTGCTGGCATGACAAGTAGCGGTTGTCTGGCGGATAACCCATAGCACAGCAAGGATCAGTCGCATCGTAGTGCTCGCACACAATCAATCCTCGAGGAGAGCGGACAGCCGGATATGCCAGACGTGACACGAAAGCATGAAAGCACAAAACAAAACAGATGCAGTCATGCCGCAGTAGCAGTGCCCACAAAGGCCACGTGACGAGTCGACGCAACATGTGCTAAGATCATGATATGCGCAGTGACTACACACACCATCGGCAAAAGAGCTTGAACGAACCCCCCCTTCTACTTTGTGATCGTATCTCAGCATACGTCATTCGCAAAAGGCTGACTTCGTTGAACCACAGCTGCAGAACATCCCTCGATGGCTTCCGCTGCCTGTTGGAGGGAGTGGCGAAGAGCAGAGCACATAGACAACATGCACCACTGCTAGCTTTTTTGCCAGTCACACGACTGAAGTGTGCGCAGTCCTCTGAGCCTGAAAACAAGTTCGATGTCACCGGGAATAAATAACAGGCCTATCCTGTAACCTTACATTTTTGCATGGGGCACTGCGACGTCAGTCGTTGCTGTGAGCTGCGGGTGAGAAAGGCAGTCACTCAGACTGCTTCCGGGTCATCTGGGAAGAGGTCGATCGAATCCCCCTCCTGGGTAAAATCACCGTGTGGGACGGACGTTCTCAGGGTGTGGCCCCAAATCCCGCAAAACCACTGCAGCTGTGTTGTGTCTAACGTTGCTCTATCACTGTCGACAGCCATTGCAGAGCTGCTCCTTGACCTGCACATACGCCTTCTTGAAGAGAGATTTTCTGCCAATTTTCATGCCATACCTTGGCAACACTGCACGGCCATCGTTCAAGATGAATTGTCGAGAAAGCCCGTCAGCCAAAGGAGTCAGAGCCTCTACCTCTGGGCACCGTGCGCAATTTGGTACCTGGAAGAAGGTATCAATGTGTTGCATTTGATCACCTGCATCAGACGGGCGTCAAATTCGCGATGCAGCAGAATGGGGCAATGTCGAGCCATGGCAAAGTTGAATTCAACCGACCTTAACGCCAAAAATCGTCTCAATGGCAGCACGAATCTGTGGCCTCGGAATCGGGAACACAAATTCGATTGCACGACCAAGCACCGCAGAGCAGAAGCAAGGTTCAGACCGGGTAGACAACAGTTTGGAAGCCCAGCCCAAGCAATGGAACTAAGGAGTCTGGCGTGATCAGGGCACGGTGCACGCCAAGTAACTTGTTGGCCTTCCGATCCACCATGAAGGTGTAGATGTTGTACTCTTCAAGCAAGCGGCATGCCTGCCACTTTGACAGATGAACTGTTCTGATCCAGTTTGGTTTCAGGCAGTCATCCCTGTGTGAGCAGGACACAAGTGACAATCTCCCAAGAAAGCATACACCAGACGCGGCCTTTGCCGTCAGCAAAGGATATTTGATGATGTCATACATGCCGCCGTCCTTCACAGATGAGCAGCTACTTTTCGTACCGACAAGATAAGAACAATCTCTTGTAACTCTATCAGCGAGAAGCCAGCATGCACTGCCTACACAAGCCCAAGCAGGATGCAAGCTTCCTCATCGAACTTATACTCGGGATAGTTCCGCCGTGCCTGCAAATGAGCACAACGCGCAGAAGTATATACGATTCTGAGCTTCGGCATGGACACCTCGATGTTTTGCGGGTTCGGGAGCGAGACGTGCTGAGTGGAATGGCACGTAACGAGATCTGTCCTGGTCAGTGCGTCGTATGGCATCCACACCGCAGACAAATGCGGCCAGCCCGACATTACCAGAGGTTCGAAGTCCTGCGTGGCTGTCGTGAAGCCGAGCCAACCCAGACCTTCAGCAATCAAAACTCTTCCTGCTTTGGCCATCAGCGTTGCAATGCGTTGCTTAGAAGCTGACCGGTGCCCAGTAGGTAGCTGCCGCTGCAGAGGCCAGAAAGGCGAGAACAATCGGGACCGAGCGACGAGCCTGCCATCGCGGCAACCCGTTTCCCCTCTCTGACTGCTGTCACAAAGACTAGCCTTCGGCATCTTGGGCCCCGCCAGGGCCGCAGATGCCTCCATGACCTCGTGACCTGTGCCACGGCAAGAATTGCTTGCAACAGCGTCCCCACGCCGCGGAAGCCTCCGACGACGTTGCCCGAGGACTCCCGGCTGCGATCCGACGATCCGATCCCGCGCGTCAGAGCAAGACATGCAGTCACAGAAGCCGTGTTCAAGCGGTGCAGCTCATGCGACACAGTGAAGAAGCAGCCTGCGGTAACATATTTTCGCATCGTGGCAACGTCGTGAAATTCAACCAGCCAAGCGAAACATGGCCTAGAAAAGACTACCTGTGGGATGTTGACAGTGATGACATGCTCTCGGGGCTGCAGTTGGAATCTAGGAGGCCACCGTGTATGGCTCAAGGGCACGGCACTGTTACCTCAAGTCTCTAGTGGCTTATCGTCCATAGATCCGTCCAAATCAAAAATCGATCCTCGGACAGCAGCAGGGCAACTTTTCAGAAATTTCTTTCCAGTGGATTCGGCCATCTGAAAAAGAGCCAAGGCACTCTCCTGTCGCCAAAACCTCGTACAACCAACTGCGACTCTCAAGCCTCAACCAGCAACAGAGTATCACAGCTGCAAGAAGTCAACAAGAGCGGTTGTACGAGGAGGGGGCCTCACTCGACCTTAGAAGGGCCCAGCTCCAGGGGCTTGATCCCTCCCTCAGGCACCTTCCGACCGGTCACCAGACATGCTGTTTGGAGGCGGAGGTTGGGCTACAAAACGAGATATTTGGGGGAATGTGCCGGCGGCCTGTGACAGCAGACAAGCCTCAACTTCGTCCTTCAGCATGTTCAATCCTCAGCGATTCAGAGTGTGAAAGGACGACCGCATCATGCCGAGTAGGATTCACTGCCTCTGTGAGAGCCTGACGAAGCCACTCATAACGATCACTGATGATCTCTTCGGTGCTCAGCTTGCGGAGCTGCTGCGTCCAGTAGAAATCCTTCAGATGACTAGCTTGGCTGCGAGTACGAGCTGTTCACATTGTTCACCAACAGGACTCACGACCGAAAGCCCAGACGATGGCTAAATCCCCACCAACATTGCACGTCTCACTCATCTCACCTTGAAGGAACGGTAGAAAGTGGGCGCAAAGAAGAGGAAGAGGAAGAAAGGCCCAACCTCAGATTCGGAGACGCTTGTCTGGATTGCTTTGACCGCATCTCCAGCTGGGCACCATGCGTTTGCCTTCTCCCAGAAATATTTTTCCTCGAAGTACTTTGATGGGCTGAAGCTACCGACCTGCGCGGGGCCGGGGGCTATCCGAGATGCTTTCTCTGTCCAAGCGCCACGACGCCTTCAAGGACAAATGACACAAGACGAGCACAGCAGATTCGCCCGCGAGCTCTGGTGTTTTGACCCTCTTGGCACCGATGGGACCAATCATGCACCATCAGCGGCCACGAGAGCCTGCTCGGCATCTCAGTTCAAAGTCCTTCCGAGCAGCCCTGCAGCTGCTAGGACGAGCAGGCACTTCCACAAAGGAAGCGATTGGATCTTGGTGGAATGGTTATGAGCAACTTCTTTGACAAAAGGACTCCACAGCAAACTCTCAACATCGTGCTGGCTCACAGGTTGACATGTACACACACGCAAAACTACACCAGACAGACGGCGCCCGAATCAGGATATTGGCACATACCTTCGACCAGCTGTCAAAGGCACAAAGCATGTTCAGAGCTTGCAGAAAAGCACAGCAACCCAGAAGCTGCAACAATCCCTTCCTGCTGAGAAGCTCAGACCACAATCTGCTTGGCGCCCTTCGCCTTGCAGTTGTCGCCACCCTCGTGGCAATGCACCTGCAAACGGCTTACGGTCTTGCCGCCGCAAGTCTGCAGCATTCACCAGCCGCAGTGTTAAGAGACGACAACACTATCTCTGGAGTGCAGATGCGGACGGCATTCACGAGACCTTGCTGGAGGCACCTGATTGTTCTTCTCTGCGGCTGTAAAGCTAGCAGGGACTGCCCAGGAGCACTGGTCCTCACGAAAGCTAGGCAGCACATGAGTCTGCAAATATGCAGCGATACAACTGCGATACAAATGCAACTGATGCAACGGCGAGATTGTGTGGCACTCGCCGCATGGCTCGACAGGCCGCTGCTCTCTGACAGAATCCGGATAAGAAAACCAGAAATCACCTGCTATTGTACTCTGTTGCAGTCCATTTACAAGGCTGGGAAACTCGCAGAATTCGCGTAGTCTGCTTTAATGGCGCAAAAAGAACTCCTCAGATTAGCTGATATGCTGTCTGTAAGACTCCGGTGTTCCCGGCTGTGCTTCGTACATACTCGCTTTTCTCGCTTTTGGGGCGTTGAGATCCAGAGTCGGACGCAGCCCTTTACTGCATTTAATTAAGAAAAAGCTGGGACAAAGATCGTCCACAGGTCCCTGTACTGTAGGACACCCTATTGGCATTCCACGTGGTGGAGTGGACACGATCTTTGGGAAGGCCTGCCATGGAATGAAGGCAGAGATCGGACGTGATAGGGGCAAGGAAGGCCGACGGTATTCCAAGTCCAAGCAGTCGGACGAAAAGGCGGAGGAGATCCCCTGCAAATTCAGCTGCCGCCAGTTGACTGTGGAACTTCTTGTCGGGAAGTCGGTCTGGGCAAACCTCCGCCTGGGAAGGCAGTTCGCAAGCCACCAACACGAATCTGGTCCCCTCATACGGACCCTCAAAGAAGGAAAGGGAATGACCATCTGCAATCTCCTGTAGGCAATCTTCATGCGTGAAGGAGAGGGCACCTCGCCAAAAGCTGACACCTTGACGCGAGGTCCACGAAGCAGGGGCAACGACCGTGATGTCGTCCTCTGAAACCAAAGGTTCCGGCAAGTGGACACATGTGAGGTCCAAGGCAGTCAGAATGGCCCCACAGTCACGGAACCTGCAAAGGGCCATCTCCTGCGAGGAAGGGTCAGGGATAAGCCACTCAATCAAGTCTGCCTGCATCAGCCAGTCAACAAATGGGCGAAGCACCACTTGGGTGGCGGGCGGGTAGTCCGAAACAAGGTGCGCCCATGCTAGCACAGTAAGACGGAGCCGTCCGGTGGGGGCACATACACACCCAAAAGAAGTCTTTAGACGCTGCCAGATGTCGGCCTGTGTCGCTGTTTGGAGCGTTCCGTCAAAGTCTAGATGGCAGAGACAGTCCAGTATTTCAGCAACCGGCTTCTGGCGTTCCTCTGTGACTGGTTGCCACTGTAGGGGCTGTGATGGCCCTGCAGCCTGCACAACTGGTGCTTGCGGGCGCAGTGGGTGCGCCGCCTTGCGGCTGCCCACACCTGGTTCTGCGTCGCAAGCGAAACCCGCCTGTTGCAACTTAAGGCGACAGGCCGGGGTGAAGCGTAGATGCCGGCACAAGCGTATGTTGTTCTGAAAGTGCCTGAGACACGCCTGGCACTGAGAGCCCTGCAGTATCCCTCGGCCCTCCATGATGCGCCCGTGCTTTTTGAACGCATGCAACGACCACTTGTTGTAGTTGCTGAAGGTCTGGCCACACAACGCACATCCATGACGCTGGTCCGTCGTCTCAATTGCAGGGCTAAGCAGGGTTCCCCCAAGGTGCTTGAGCTGGCGTGAAAGTAGGCCTGCAGCATACGCCCTTGCGGCGTCCCAAGCTTCCTGGCGCGTCGCTTGGGTCTGTGCCCGTCGCAGCAAGGCCTTCCATCTGCCCGGGTGCGAGATCATCATGTCTCGCCATTGCTCCCAAGAGTGTTCCCATGTGCTCTTGTCCGTTCCAGTTAGTGCATGCAACCAACCAAGGGAGAGGCATACCTGCTGCAGCCACTGACCCTCCCAGTGGGCGATAGCCCATATCTCGCGTATTTTGAGCCTAACGCATGGAAGGAGGTGTCTCAGGCGAGACACATGCAGGAGTACAGAAATGGAAGGAAGGCCTGCAACGGCAAGAATGCGACTGGGTCCTAGACGGAGGGCCTCGTCAAATTGGTGAAGGGGCCTGAGCATCTGTGCGACCATGAGCGTATATGCATGACTCAACGCGCTAATGGAGGCCTTGTCAATCTCCGTCCATGTCCCGGCACCGTGTAAGAGTATCGACAGGACGAGGGACTCGAACAGTATGTTTTTGGAAGACAGAGGGATGACTGGTGACCCGAAAATGGCACGCTTGTGCTTTTGAAAGGCCTCATGTGCGAGGGCAGTTCTGCTTCTGACCTCACGTATCACCTTGCCGGAATGGTGGATCAGCCCTCCGAGATGCCGATACTGCGAAACTACTCTTACCCGAGCCCTGGGCATCTTAGCAGAGGGAATGTCTAAACATGGGTCGGAGTCCCGGAAAATCCGCTCCCGAACCTGTCTAGATCCCCTACCTACCGGGACGAGGATGATTTCGGTTTTCCCTCTGGCGAGGTTGGGTATCATACCCCTGTCCATGCAACGGTCAAGAAGGGACGCAGTGGCCTTGCTGGTAACCGTCGGGAGGGCCGATGCAGAAGGTGCGCGGAGCATCAAGGAAAGATCATCCATCCACGTGGAATCAAGGAGTGCAATGCGGCTGTAGTGGCCCCACAGGCGTGACCCGTGTTGCCATGGTATCACACCAGGGAAGACATGTCAGAATGCCTTCGGCTTGGAGATCGGTGCGGAGGCTATCTAGGACTCGGGCGAATAGGAAGGTAAAAACAATATCGGCGCAAGTGTCTCGTGGACGGCTGCCGATAGAAGTTTCAACTACTTGCGGTCCACGTCTGAATCGGAACCAAGTGCAGTCAAGCACCTCTGACAAAGACATGTCCGCCCAGCAGGACGCACCGGCCTGGCCTTGCAATGAATCAGACTGCAGGTGTGCATGCAAAATCGACAAAGTGTCTGGTGCCAAGCGGAGGGTAGCTGCCACACTCGCAAAATCTTCGTCGTTGAACCGGGACCCGGTAATCAACGGACGTATAATGCGATAAAACGTTTCGCGTAAGTCCAAAAACACCAGCGCATAAGACTCCTTGTGGAGTACCGCTCCATGTTGGAACAGTCGCACAGCTTGCGATGCCATGGTCACCAGGCGGTGGGGAAGTCCGCCCAGTTGTAGGGGTGAAGCCACCTGCTCAAGCGGTAAGGCGGCCAGGAACCGGATCGATGCAGGCTTTTGCCGATGCATGAAGAGACGAGTATGCCTCTATGAGCATCAACCCTCGCGGTTGAGAGCTTTCCTTTCCAGGCCGTCTGCAAGGCCCCACCTTTGAAGTGTAGGGGCTCTGACATTCTCATTCCAATCTTGAGTGCTAGATGGAAAAAGGGGCCTGGAAGCGGAACCAGCCGCATAGTGCAGAATCTCGCCCGGCAGATTGTCAACCCCAGCTGCCCGGCCCGTCTTGGTTGAACGGATGGACCGCTCCAGCTCACATCGCGATGGGAAGTCAGTCGCCGAGAGGGACAGCAGGTCTAAATCGCGGTCTAGTTGGCGCGAAAAGCACTTTGTCACCAAGTCCAGTGGCTCGGACGTCTTGCCGTCCTCCAGTCCCGAAAAGTGGCGGATCCAGATCTGCTCGGCCTCTTCCGGAGTGTCGGCTACATTGCCCTTTTCATCCAGGACCATGGGAAGGCCTTGTCTAACTCTGCAACGTCGCTTGGGCGGCCCGAGAAGGGGCTTGAGCGCAGTAACGGTATCCGCAACCGGGTTGGTAGTGGCCTCAAGAGCGGCCTGGGTGACTCGGTGCTTCTGGTCGTGCCTGATTGATGCGCGCAGGTCGTGCTTGGTCTGACGCATGTCGGTCGCCACAAGCAGCAGTTCACGGTGGTGGGCCGCCGCACTCAGAAATGTGGCCACCTCTGACACAAGACCGCGAAGACCGATCGTCCATGGCCTGAAGGCGGCACGCAGTTCGCTATGCAGCAGGTTGGAAGGCAGTCGGAGCAGCCGTCTCCGAAGCCAAACACGCTTTTGACGGATCATCCAAGTGGTGGTGCTCGGGAGTCGGGCTCGTGGTATCCGAGAAGCGATCTCTGTCGGCAAGAAAAGTTCCCGAGAGTTGGGGCCACAGTAGTGGATACCTGACTGAATCGATGATCAGCCACCACCATGTCAGTTTGTCAAGTCTGGCAGCCTCAGCTAGGAGGTGTCTTGGCTTGGTGCCGCACAGTAAAGCAACTTTGCACGCCCATTTGGCCAGACCGTCTACGCATTCGTTTGCCTTCGATCTGGACCGTGGATGCCGGGCCTGGTAAAGGGCTCTGGCGCTGCGCGCTGGAGAGTCCTCAGCTTGGCAACCAAAGCTTCCACTTGTCTGCTGAAGGGCAACCAGGCAGTCTGACCAAATGTGCACAGGAACGGCCGTGGGTCCTTGCATGAGCCATGCGAGGGCCCAGAAGAGAGCAGATTGCTCTCCTCTGAGAGCATCGTGACAGGTGGCTCCTATGGACAGTGGTAGAGACTCACCTACTACTACCTGCTCGGCCATCCATCCGATGACCTGTACCGAGTCAGACGCCCAACCCAGGACGAGGAAGGCCCAGCTACTAACCTTTCCATTGAAAGACCCATCGGTAAAGACCTCTATGGCATCCCAATTGGCCCCGGGTCCTGCGGTTGGCAAAGTGGCAGGCTGCTCCGCCATGCACCTGAGCACTTCCGCCGAAGGGTGCAGTGGCATGTGGGCTGGAAACTTCCTGTGGAGTTGCCAGTGGCCCTCCTGAAATTGCATCATGACATCGTCAAGGGTGCTTGGTATTTGGAGGTTGACTGTCGAGAGATCAAAGCATACACTGCTAGGCAGGGCGTCGCTCAGAGACAGGGTCTGGGCATTGACTACACAAGGGATGGGATGGAGTTCCTCCAACCTGCCCGTATGGGTCTGACTCCCAGCAATGTGCTTCTCACCCATGTGTTCAGAGAGAGTCTCAAGGAGCGTCGAAGCCATGAAGGCCCACTCATTAGACTCGGAGACACACTCGTCAAGCAGAGTATCCAAGACATCCAGATGCCATCTATATGTGTCATCTATGGGCAAGTGGCCTTGTCTGCACGGTGTAGGTAGAGCTGGCAGGCGGCTTGGGCCGGCAAAGTGTCCTTTCCTAGCGCCCCCTTTGCCTACATCATCTATGCACCCAAAGATGTCGCAGGTCGTACAGGTGCCTAGGGATGTTGCGACAGCAGCAGGTGTCACCCTGGCGGGGCTATAATTGTCCTCGGTGGCGGTGTCAGCATAAGGCGGCAGGATCTGGACTGCAAGAGCATGAGGAAAGCAAAGTACGCAGATGCATACCACAATCGTGGCAGATAGTCCGCGCAGAGGTGTTGTGGCTGCAGGCCAACATGGCATGTGTCCCCTTCTATGCCCCCAAGGAGACCGCCTATGTGTGGGCTCAGGCGTGTGGAACCTGGCCCCGTCATCTTGGTTGTGCGGTGGCGCATTTTGCATGTCAATATCCCCATCATGCTCGGAGCCGTCGTGGTCGCTGCCCCCTTCATCGTCGTCATGATCCCTGCCCCGATTGGAGTCATCATCTTCATCGTAATCACTGGCAAGGTCATCAGGGAGAAGGTGCACGACAATGACTTGCCCAGGCCAAACATGGAGGACAGTCCTGTCCCAGTGACGTTCAACAGAGCCACCAAGGACATTGAGTCGGTATCCTCTGGGGATTTCGTCTGCAAGCGGACGGAGCAAGGTGGTGACATCCAGTCGTCCATGTTCAGCAACGGCCCACTGAATACCCTTCAGTAGTGGCCTCTGATCCACCAGGCATATGCAGAAGGGTGTCCTAGGCCTGCCTGGTGGCACCGGGGTGGCCGGAACTGCTGTGCGGTGGCAAGATCGAGATGAGGGTGCCCGTCCTCAGCTCAACCTGCTGGTATGGACCGAGCGGCATCCATGAGGAACCGAAGTAAACATGCAGCTGGGCGTCATGGTTGAAACCTGCAGCTACTACAGACTCGCGGTTCATGGTGGGAGGAAGGCTCCGGCAGAAAATTCTGCCATCAACTTCTCTGACATCAATGCAAACTATGCTCATCTCCAAAGGCCAGGAGGGACAGACTACTGTGCCATAGGTGTCATCCGGCTGGGGAGTAACAGGCACAATGGAATCGTACAGCATCTGTCTTGTGTCATCGCGTGCGGCAGAAAGCTGTGCAAGTGCATGGTCCATTGTACATGGCACCGAAAGACGGAGTTCAGCATGTTCTTTGCTGAGGTCGGGACCCAGCACGAGAAAATGCCACTCTCGGAAGACCTGTGCAGCATGCTGCTGCATGCCTTCCGGACGGTCTACTTCAAACCTGGGCACCTGACGTTGAAGTGGCCCTTCCCTGTCGGTAAGAGGCTCATCTGGAGCAGCATTGCCAGTTTGGGAAATGGCAACGAAAGGCCGCGCTGTGTCGGCCACATCGTTGCCTTTGCAACATCTGGGGCGAAAGGCTCTGGATAACGCGTGCAGGGCAAGGAACCCCAGCACTGTACTCGCAGCCACCAAAAGAACAATGGTGGCAATGTGCCCTGCACCACCTGGAAAAGCACCAGCGTCTAGGCCTGCGCAAGCAGTAGTTGCAGGCCATTGTGTGCGCGCACTGCAGATATATGGGCATCCACAGGTGTTCATCCATGTATAGTTGGCGTGTAAACATGAAGCAGGGCCGACATCAGCAGAGGTGGCATGGCTGTTGTCCACATGTAGGACAGTGTTGTCAGCAAGACAGTCATTCCACTTGCCGGCAAACCCTGGCTGAGGTGATTCACCTAGTAACAGGCATGTTCTTAGTGTGGCAGCTGCGAAGCAGCAGCCAGCACCCCCATACCGTCTCGGGGATCGGCTGCGCGGGCGGCGCGGGCAAGGCAGGGTCCGGCTCATCTCTAGGCTGGGTGGCATCTCTAGGTGGGCCGGAATGAGCATCAGCATCATCGGAATCAGGATCTTCAGGCGGGGGGTCCTCGTCCGAGGCAACTGTCGGTGGTCTTGGTGTCGCCCTGACAACAATTGTGGCCCCAGACTGTGTAGTCTGGAAAGAGGCACCATCGTCTTCATCCCATTCTAGCACATAGCCTTCCGGAGGCTGGACACCCAGGAGGGCCAGAAAAGAGGGCAGGTGGCGCGTGTCTCCTACTTGATAGTGACACACAGGTTTGTGCCCCGTGGGACGTACATCGAAGAAACACACATTGTCTTGCCTGGGCGCTATGCCAGCACCGGAAGTAGTCGGGCATTCAACATCAACCAGGCAGGCTACACCCTTACAGACATTGCCATGGAGTAGTACATTCTCCAGTCCATCATTGGCAACCTTGAGGAGTGGAGCTGAAGCAGTGGCTCCAACGGTGCGTGCTGCCAGCTCAGCCGGCGGCTGGCCTGGATACTGCCTACGGTTCACGAAATAACGCGTAGGTCCGGAAATGAGGTAAATACCGGGTTTTAGCAGTGGCCTAGGTATCTGATTCGAGGGACCCCACGTACTTCGGTCTTGGCAGAGTTCCGCCAAGGTCGCCCGGTTGGCTGTGCATCTTCCTGTGTGTAGGATCGCAATGACATCTCCTGCCGTTATTTCAACCTCAGAATCCAGCGGGCTGCATGTCAGAGAGGATCCTATCCATACTCGGAGTCCTCGCCTCTCCTCCATGGTGAGTGAGGCTGCAAACTGTCTCAGAGCAGACTCATTCATGCGGTGGGGCAGTATGCAAGCAAAGATGTTGCCACCTATCCCGTGCAAATCCATCACGGCAACCACATTACCTGTCTGGGCCAGGCAAGAGGGCTGTGCCACAAGCGAAGCAAATCCATGCAATGGTTGCGGCGTGCAGGGGACAATCACACATACATCCCGATGGAAGTGTGCTCGTGCGACGGGCTCCGCCGCCTGCAGAACCTCTGGGGTGCTTGCCCATGTATCCATTGGGACTTCCGCATATGCAGTCTGATAGTGTGGCGCGAAAATCTGCATTCCTAGCAGGGCTCTGCCACTAAAAGGTCTTAGAGGGAGTGTCTCAGGTTGGTTCACGGGAGCCCTTGTCTCATGTCCCTCTATTTCAACCGCCGACATGAGAATATCCAAACCAGAGGGTGCTGCCCACAAGAGTGTCGGCGTGCCTAGGGCCAAAAGGGCCCACAACCAAAATCGTGAGGCAAGCCCAAGAGGGATGGCCGTGCAATCTTTCGCCGCTGTCTGCAAGTCTTCACCTGGAGTCCCGGGCCTGGGACCCGTGCACAGCAAGCAAGCGGTTGCAGGACGGCATATTCACTAGAGTGGCATCCGGCAGCCTGGGAACCTTGGTTTTGCTTTCCATGCTTGTTGAGGCCCGTCTTTAGGAGGCTGCATAGGGCCAGCAAAACTCCGGAAGCAAGGGTGAGGCACACAGCATGGCAGTGCAGGCAAAGCCAGCCGAGGGCCTGAAGAATTCCATGTTGGCTCCCATCCCTGTCCTTTGTTAAAGCTATGTTGCAGGTCGCGACCCCAGAGCCACCGATGTCGCTGTTTGGCACCCTGCTTATACAAAATTTACACACACTGACCCCGGACGCACAGGAAGTCGGTGGAGGGAGTTGTGGGAAAGGCCCGGGAGGTGACCGGGAGGAAGAAAGGCCTGGCAACCTACTCAGCAGTGCAAATCCAGCACTCGTCTGCGGGCTACAGTGAGACAGGAGGCTTTGCCCATTGTAGATCAAACTCACTCCGCTTGAGGTGTCTTGCCCGAGGGTCAACTGCTCCACAGGGATTGTTCCATACAATCCCCGGGTTCGCGGGACCTCCAGGCGACTATCCCCAATCGAGTAAGTGACCTCGCCGGTGCATGCCCTCCTCTCGCAGCTCACATCATGTAGGCGGCTCACTCCGAAGCAGTGGGGCCTGTCGGCTCCTGTTCGCTTACCTCGGCGGCATGTTCTCCGCCTGGTGGTAGTCCGGGAGGGATGCCGAAAGGCATCATTGCCTGCCTCTTCATGTGCAGCTTGGTAGCAAAATCGCCATGTACCGCAGGCTTCTCTGGTAAGGTCTTTGTAGCCTCCTTGACCCCTTGTCTGGTGTTCTCACGCTGTCCAGGAGGGATCAGGGAAGAGCCCTTTCCAGGCTCCTTGGCCGCATCTTGCGGCCCTGTGCCGGTATCCGTGTCGCTGTGTGTCGTGGTGACATTGACGGGTAGGGGTCGGATCTGGCATTGCGGAGAGTCGGAGAACAGGCATTGTATGTCGTATTCTGTTCCGGGGCTGTCTCCTTCGCAGTACCAGTAGGCGTCATCGACTTGGATGGCCGTGGCTCTCTCGCAGCGGGCTGGCATGCCCTGCGACTCTCCTGTAGTGCTCTTTGGAGCACCGCGTCGTCGGCTGCATCGTGTTCCTCCTCCCAATCCTGAACCATGCGTGCCCACTCGTTGTCCTCTTCTTCCCTTTCTTCCTCTACATCCTCCATGTCCTCGTCGCGGAACGCCACTTGGCGAGGCAGAAGCCGAGCATGCTTTTGCTGCTCCCTTGCCTCTGCAATTTCCTTCTCGAAGTGGTCGAGGGCCTTGTGGTGTCGTAGGCGCTCCCTGATGTATGCTTTCTGCGCATCCTGTAGATATTGGCTCCACTGCTGTTTGGCCTTCTCCTTGTCGCGCAGGAGCTTGGTCAGCTTGTTCTCGGCCTTCCTCGCCCCATTCAGGGCCCGCTGGACCGTGGGGACAAGATGTCCCTCCCCATCTTCTTCCGTCCTGGCAACCAGCTGGCCCTTGTTGTGCCCCGTAGACTTGCCCCCAGTGATCGGCAGGGCATCGTAGGCCGGAAAGGCGGGCCGCTGCTCCGACGGCGAGCCCTTGTTCTGTCCCTTCTTCCATGGGGGCCACCATCCTGGCGAGAGCCCTTGGCACCACGCCAGAGCTTGGAATGCGAGTGTGCATCCGAGGCCGACCAATCGCCATGCTGGTCCCAGTTGTCTCCCTTGCCCATGAGTCGACGGACTCGCTGACAGAAGGGTCCTCCCACTGAGTGGTGGCAATGTAGAGCTTGCAGGCGTCGGCGGCCTGGATGTCCTCCTTGCCTTAGCACCCGGCGTGTCTTCGTACATACATAAATACGTACATACATACACACATGCAAAGTACAAACATAATTACACACATAAAGTTTAGAAGACCAGAAGGGGAAACAGTAACAGACTTGGACGTGGTGGAACGACACGAGGAGAGGGGTCACTTTGTGGCATGGCAGGAGGGGACAGCAGACAGTGCGGTGCTAACGCGCGGCTGGTTGCGCTGTGTCGGGCGGCAAGATGGACAGAGGAAAGGCCACAGACCAGGAGGAGAGGTCAGTTGCGTCGACCGGCAGGGGTGGGTACCATGTCGGGTGTACTGTGGCGGACAAGGGGGAGTCCGATATCGGTTGTGCGGGCGGCACGTGGGGTAGGCATGGACAAGGCAAGGGGCGAGCGCGATGTCGGGTGCGCACTGTGTGCAAGGGAGGCATGGACAAGGCCGGGAGTGCGTTCCACAACTCGAAGTTTGCCAGACGCGGCAAAACAAAATCGCAGATGTCCATTATTGCATCGCTTTCTTCAGTGCCTATCGCTGAAGGCTGGTCTTCCGCTACAACCGAAGAACAGGTTCAGCGAACCACAGCCGCAAAGCAAAGTACGTCCGGAAGGAGCATGTATCCAGAGCAAGCTGCTACAGAAAAGGATCCTCCGCAGCAGCAAGAGCGATGCGCAGCACAGGACGACCAGTACTTGTTCATATCTGTGCACAAGCGAGGGGCCTGTGAACGCCGCTGTACAGCAACGCTTCGGGGCCTGTTTTGGGGTACAGAGCAGTTGTCGGGCTGTTAGGGTCTTGTGCCTTTATTGCTCGACTAAAGCTGGGCCAGATGGTCCGCAGATCACCTCTGCATCAGCCGCCTGCCGTAGCGGAGGTATGCGTGTCGCATTGTCTCTACGGCAGTTTGGACGCCTCAGAGCGAGGGAGTGGGTTGGGGGGTGGTTGCTTGCAGTCTCCGGTCTGAGATTGAGACGCTAGAGCTGTGACCGGATCCTAGTGTGAGCCGTGCATATGGATGCTGCGAGTTGATAGACAACACAGTTTCACAGGATTGCGAGTTATGGAGTTCACTCATGTCCTTCTCATCTCTAGCTATGCAGTGTCATGCACATGCTCAGGAACTCCCTCCCCGCATTTGAGCTATGCATACGGTACGTATGATTCGAGGACTGCATGGCATTACACCATGCGCTGAAATAGTCTGAACACGAAGATATTCTAATCCCTGTGTTGGTGGTCATAACTTTGTTGCGCGTTTGTGTTGTCGTATCTCATGCTTGGTTCGCTGCACTGTTTGTATAACAGGACGTGACCGCATCTGAGATGCATGCTGCTTCCATTCATGCTGGGAAGTGCGACTGACCAATGAAGTGCACAAGCAATGCATGAGAATTACTTCGACATACAGATCATGCTTAGATACAAACGAACCTATACTTTCCTCAGGCGGACGAAAGAACACATGAACACACGAGCGAGCAAGCGAGCCGGGACTGGTCTCCTGACACACATCTCCAATCTAAACAAACCCGAGAAAATCAAAAGGCAAACACTCACTTGACTCAACTCAGTCAAGGACCGCAGAAGCGGGGGAGTTATGAATGGAGAGCCACACAACGAACGACAAAGAAACTGGGTGTCGCAAAGTTAGCTTGACGGGCGCTGCCAGTGAGCACTTGAAGGAGCATTATCGTCATGATGTCAGAGTGATCGAATGACAGCAAAGTGCAGACAGTGAGCAGCTATTGTGTGCCGATGGCTATCTCGCTGTATAGAGCAGAAGCCTGTGGCCACAGGGACGCTTGCAATATCTTGCGTTCCCTTGCACGAACGAGTCGCAGTATGCTCTTCTCCGCGTGTCTAGCTCGTCCCACGAGAAATCACACACCGAAGGAGGATGCCAATTGCTGGCATGCGCGAGGCGCAAGCGCAGCTGAGCCACTATCACAAGCCCGGCAGATGTCTGAAACTGCAGAACTTGTCCGGAAACAATCCAATGACTGCACAGCAAACCGCTCCTCGAGGAGCAGCGCACCTTTTGCCACCCTGCAAGCTGCATGTTACGACAAATTGTCAATACAGTGTACTTGTGAAGGCTTCGAAGCCCTGCCATGCAATCACTCGACGCAAAGGTGGCAGAAAGCTCTTCTGCAAGCCACGCCTGAAATAGCCCATTTCTCCCCAATATTCTCCCCGTTGGAAGTTTGTCTCCATGAAGTGGCGGAACCAGTCATGGATGTCCTACTGCTCATGGTTCGGGCGGTCGTCCGCGTTCGAAGCCAAATGCCTGCCTCAAGCCCTCACGGATGCGTCCAAGATGCTGCAGTCTCGAGGTGGCCGCAGTCAAAGAATCCGTAGGCGCCGCCCAGCCTAACCGCCTCGTCCAGGGATCACCTCGATGATGAAGACGTCCGTCCTGCCAATGGGGGCAGCTCCACGCCGCATGATCCCAAGTTGGGACCACGCGTTCCTGACAGAGACCGCAACTGAGCAACCGACAGAAACCATCCCGAGCTCCGCGTTTCTTCTGAGCATAGTTAGCCTCGCTGCATGCACCTCCAAGAAGGACTCCACGTTGTTCAGCGGTAGCTCGCGCATACAAACGCCTTGTCATGCTGAGCTGATTCTCACTGTACGTTGCCCCTTGCGTCTGAAGATCAGTGGCTTCATGGCGGCTCAGGCGGAGGAAAGCCCTCAACTGACTGCGTCTCCAAGCTTCTCGGAGAGCGTGCCCGGTCCTTCGGATTTCTTGCTGAGGGGTCCCTTCGAACCATGTCACTTCGCCCGCTGTGGGATGATTCCAGCGCCAGGGGCCAGTCTTGGCGAAGCCGAGGGCCGAGAAGTCTGCATTGACCTGCTGGGTCCACAAACCTGGCGGGAGCTGGATGCCGCGTCGCCTCCAGAACCACTCAGCTCGCAGGAAGCTGAGGACGGTGGAGTGCCTCAGGAAAAACCGCATGTCATACTGGTGCCCGGCGAGAACTTGCCACAGTGCGCGGGCGGCAGACGATGTGATGTTGACAGCTCGCCTGGCCGCAGTGTCTGTAACTTCACAGCGCTGCGTTGACCAGGGCCTAAACCAAAAGCCCCAAGAGGCAGCGGGGGCTACCCTGGTACGATACATCAGCTCACGGCCCTCTTGACCGACGGGCAGGGCTCGGAGGCGTCCAGTCATCTTGTCCGTGTGCTCCACCCGCTCGCAGTGCTCAGGCGCCTTCTCGTCATGGGAGAAGAAAGTGGTACCCAGAACCTTGGCCTCGGGGTGCACTTCGATGCCCAACCTCCGTAGCGCTTGTTGCTGCGAAGGGTCCTTGGTGATCACTCGGAGCTTGCGCATGTTCTCCTGAAGACCGAGCTCCCGTGAGTAGCGCTGCCACGCATGAATGGCGGTATGGGCGGCCTGAGCGGTATTGACGACCACATTTGGGTCATCCAGGTAAATCACCTGCGTCAGCCGCTCCTCGAGTAGACGTCGAAGATCCATGGCTGGCCGGCGAAGAAGAACCGTGAGACCCATGGGAGCGGCAGGGCATCCTTGTGGCAAAGATGTGCCTGCCCATTGTCCTTCGGGAAGCGTGATGCCTCCCAACTGAAGCCATCTGGTCTGGGCCAGCCAGGTCGGCCTGAGAACGCTAAGCATCCGTACGGGGGCGCCCAGCCTCTGCAAGATCGCCAGCGGGAGCTGAGGGTTGATGTAGTCGAAGCAGAGTGAGAAGTCCATGCTGATCAGGATGTTGGGCTGCAAGTGGTATGCAGCGTCCAATTGTCTGACACCTGTTTCAGCGCTTCTGCCCTGCAGGCCGCCTTGAAAGTCCGCAGGCATGATGTGATCGAGCCAGGCGCGCGTCCTCCCCCGTCTCATCCAAGTAGAGGCGACAACACGGTAGACCGCCGACAGCACGGAGATCGGGCGCATGCGATCCACCTGAACACAATCAGCGTTGGGCTCCAGATGGTCTTTTGGTATGCACACCATGCGTGCCTGCGTCCACGCCCTTGGATATTGAGCACGCAAGTGCCATTCTTCTAGGCGCCCCTCCAACTGCTGCCAGAAGGCGATCGGAAGCGATGCCAGCTCTGCACTGCTCCAGCCGTCGGGACCCGCGGATCCGCCCGTCATGGTTTGGGCGGTTCGTTGGAGCTCAGCAGCTTTGAGGGGCCCATCTTCGCTGCTCCAGTCAAAGCTGTCGTCCACATCGATGTCGTAGGGCAGTGCCTGCACGGTGTCTCTGTCCCAGACTTCTCTCCAGAAATCCCTGAGGAAACGTAAGCTTTCGGCTGTAGTAGTAGTAGCGATCTGGTCGCGGCCATCTTTTGTTCTAGCTAGGGCAGGCGGGAGGAGTGACGAGCGGCCGTGTAGCCAAGTGGAGGCCTCCTTGCCACACTTCATCATTCGGGCCCGCCACCTCTGCAGACCAGTCCTCCTCCACTTGCCTTGTTCCGCCGTGAGGCGGCGCTGGATTTCATCGATGGCCACTCCTAGGTCCGAGCGGGCCAGGTCAGCAGGCCAGCTGGCTCTAATCTTGCGCTGAAGGGCCGGCTCGATGCCCCTTTTTCCCTGTTGGCGTCTGGCCTCCAGGAGCCGACCCAGGAAGTTGCCAAGTTGCTGGAGTTTTGCAGCATCTTCGCCAAAGTTAGGGCCTTGGGCCTGTTTTCGAACGCGGCACTGTGCCAGACTGCCCTTGCTTCGGAAGGCTTTGCTAACACTCGTAGGGGTAGAGGCCCTCCCGCTGTCACGAAGGCCTGCGAGGGCGGGTCCTTGGCCGGCAGCAGTCTCACAAACATGATGATGTGCACATCGTAAAGCATCCTCGGCCCACTCGCAAAGCTGGGACCACTGAGCATCCACTTCGGGCTTCTAATTAGGCGGCTCCTTGAGGGCGTCGGCGATGTGGGCTCTCCAAACAGCGGGGGGAACACCTTCAGGAGTCTGCCAGTGGTGAGTCGGAACCAGCTGGTGAACAGCGCTTGTGATCGCCCAACTTATCCAAGCCGAAAGAGGCATGCCAATCTCCTGGCCAGTTGCCCGCGCCCCAGTCCACGGCTCGGTTGCCCCCCATCTTGAAGGGATGTAGTTGCCTTCGTCGTCCTTTGGCGCCAGCGGGTGTAGATCACCGGACCAACACGGAGTGCTGGGGAGATCATTTTGGTCGCCCACGATCATCCAGGGAGAAGCTCTGGAGGCCGCATACAGCTTGAGAGTATTGACCTCTGCGTCGTACTGGTCTCGCTCTGATCCGGGCCTGCGCCAAGCGACAGTCAGGAAGGAGTAGCCCAGATCAAGGTGGATCATTTCCCCTTGCGTGTGCTGCCACTCGACCACTGCCACCATGATGCCGCCAGCAGTAATGGTCTTGCCTCTTCTGGTGCGTGTCCCGTCAGGCTCATGCGCCCAAAAGGTTCGATAACCCAACTTCCTCAGCTGCAATGTGAGGGAGTTTCTCTGAGCGTTGTTTGCCTTGACCTCGGCCATGCAGAAGATGTTCGGCTTGGCGGTTTGCGTCCGGAGGTTGGCGACAGCAACCGCCGCGTTGATGTAGCCGTTAACGTTGACATAGTCCAGCCGGAACTCCTTTGGTGAGGCGCCACGACGTATGGATGGTCCCGGGTTCGGTTCTATGCCCTGTGTGACGAGGCGGTCCTTCGCAGCGTCCAGCAAGGCTTTGACTCGTTTGGGGCCTGGCCTGTGTGAGCCGCCGGGCTTGCCGCCAAGGGTGAGGAACTGGCTGTGGTCGCACTCGGGGTGGAAGCCGTCAATGTGCAATCGCAGTCTGTCCTTAAGCCTTGACTTGGTGTCTGCGGTGACCCTGCATTTGCAAACGGTGCATGGCCAACAGAACTTGCCCCTGTGTTTGAAAACCGGGCTGCTCACCGCCTGCGCGTGGTGCTTCCTGACATGGCGCCGTCCTTGCTCTTCAAGCTTGTGGGTCTCCTTGCCATGGAACTCCACGTCGCAGCGACTGCACTTCCATGTCCAGAGCTCCTTCTGCTCGTCGAAAGTCATGGGGACGTCAGTGCAATAGGGGTGCTTGGTGCGCTCGGGAGAAGGGCTAGGCAGGCAAGGAGGATCCGCTCGAGAAGAGCTGGCCGCCTCGTCCTTGTGTGACTTGTTCTGGGCGTCCTTGGAGGCCTTGAGGAACATTTTCCGCACTGCTTTGCGCGGCCGAGGGGCCCCGAGCTGTTGCCGGAGCTTGTCACCGCGCTTGTTGAGAAGGGTTTTCTCCTCCTTTGTCAGGCGCAAGACGGAGCTGATCACTGGCCGGTTGATCTGGACCTTCCAAGCCTTCCTAAAACCGAGGCTGCGCAGGTGTTGAGGTCGATCCGCATGCCCACGGCAAAGTTCAAGATGACCTTCGGTAGCCGCAAAACGCAGAGTGGAAAGGTGGCCATAGATCGCACAGCATCGTCTGCAACCCCAGGCACCTCGGACTCGTTGCTCTTTGACACAGACTTTGCGCGGGATCCAAGCAAAATCATGTCCCGTGTTGCGCTGGAGCTCGGTGACCTCCTTCATGAGCCTCAAAGCAAAGCGCACTTTGATGTGGTGACTTGTCTTGGCCATGGACTTGTTGAGCCACGGGTATGACTCAACCTTGCCCCCCATCCTGACAATCTCTGCAATGACTTCCTGTATCGGAAGGCGCTGACTGACATTCTCGTTACGAAGGGCAGCCAGAGCACAGTCCAATGGTACGTCTGGAAGGTTTCCAAGCTCAAGGGCAGCAGACGATCCACCAGCTGGCTCCAGGCAACCCCCCATTCTCGGCTCCGAGATTTGGGGGTTGCTTTGGGCTGGGAAATGGGCCCCAGGCAACCCCCCAATCTCGGCACCGAGATGGGGGGGTTGCTTTCGGCCAGAAAATGGGCCCGGTGGTTGAGCTCCAGGGCCAGGTTGCTTGCCAATCAGCTTGTGGCGGCGCCGTCGGCTGAGTGAGCTCTCAACCCCCACCTCCTCTGGCATCCAGGAAGCGACTGTACGAGCGTCGTCCGGTGTCATCGGCGCCTGGGTGCAGGAAACAGGCGCCTCACAGCTGTGAGTGGCCTCAGGATGTCCATCTTGAACATGTTGGTGTTGAGTGTCCTCTGGGAGCCATGAAGTGCTCGTACGGACAGACTCCGCATCCTCAGACTGAAGCCACGACTTACAAGTAGTGACGCTGCGCGTGTCTGCAGTGCCACCGCCGCGGGGGACATTCACCTCCATTTCAAGCCTGTCTTTGCCTAGCTTCTTCCACTCGTCAGGAAAGGAGTGGCCAACCTTAGGACGTATGAGCGTGAAGTGGCCCGCATCGTAGCAGATGTAGATCGTACGCGAGGCCTGGGGGTTGCCAATGGCCGTGAAGTGCTTCGCCTTGTTGGGGGGGCCGTGGCAGGCAACGATGATGGTCTGGAGCCTCTCTGCAGATGTATGCTTTCTGCGCATCCTGTAGATATTGGCTCCACTGCTGTTTGGCAATCTCCTTGTCGCGCAGGAGCTTGGTCAGCTTGTTCTCGGCCTTCCTCGCCCCATTCAGGGCCCGCTGGACCGTGGGGACAAGATGTCCCTCCCCATCTTCTTCCGTCCTGGCAACCAGCTGGCCCTTGTTGTGCCCCGTAGACTTGCCCCCAGTGATCGGCAGGGCATCGTAGGCCGGAAAGGCGGGCCGCTGCTCCGACGGCGAGCCCTTGTTCTGTCCCTTCTTCCATGGGGGCCACCATCCTGGTACATACATACACACATGCAAAGTACAAACATAATTACATACATAAAGTTTAGAAGACCAGAAGGGGAAACAGTAACAGACTTGGACGTGGTGGAACGACACGAGGAGATGGGTCACTTTGTGGCATGGCAGGAGGGGACAGCAGACAGTGCGGTGCTAACGCGCGGCTGGTTGCACTGTGTCGGGCGGCAAGATGGACAGAGGAAAGGCCACAGACCAGGAGGAGAGGTCAGTTGCGTCGACCGGCAGGGGTGGGTACCATGTCGGGTGTACTGTGGCGGACAAGGGGGAGTCCGATATCGGTTGTGCGGGCGGCACGCGGGGTAGGCATGGACAAGGGGCGAGCGCGATGTCGGGTGCGCACTGTGTGCAAGGGAGGCATGGACAAGGCCGGGAGTGCGTTCCACAACTCGAAGTTTGCCAGACGCGGCAAAACAAAATCGCAGATGTCCATTATTGCATCGCTTTCTTCAGTGCCTATCGCTGAAGGCTGGTCTTCCGCTACAACCGAAGAACAGGTTCAACGAACCACAGCCGCAAAGCGAAGTACGTCCGGAAGGAGCATGTATCCAGAGCAAGCTGCTACAGAAAAGGATCCTCCGCAGCAGCAAGAGCGATGCGCAGCACAGGACGACCAGTACTTGTTCATATCTGTGCACAAGCGAGGGGCCTGTGAACGCCGCTGTACAGCAACGCTTCGGGGCTTGTTTTGGGGTACAGAGCAGTTGTCGGGCTGTTAGGGTCTTGTGCTTTTATTGCTCGACTAAAGCTGGGCCAGATGGTCCGCAGATCACCTCTGCATCAGCCGCCTGCCGTAGCGGAGGTATGCGTGTCGCATTGTCTCTACGGCAGTTTGGACGCCTCAGAGCGAGGGAGTGGGTTGGGGGGTGGTTGCTTGCAGTCTCCGGTCTGAGATTGAGACGCTAGAGCTGTGACCGGATCCTAGTGTGAGCCGTGCATATGGATGCTGCGAGTTGATAGACAACACAGTTTCACAGGATTGCGAGTTATGGAGTTCACTCATGTCCTTCTCATCTCTAGCTATGCAATGTCGTGCACATGCTCAGGAACTCCCTCCCCGCATTTGAACTATGCTGCGAGTTGATAGACAACACAGTTTCACAGGATTGCGAGTTATGGAGTTCACTCATGTCCTTCTCATCTCTAGCTATGCAATGTCATGCACATGCTCAGGAACTCCCTCCCCGCATTTGAACTATGCATACGGTACGTATGATTCGAGGACTGCATGGCATTACACCATGCGCTGAAATAGTCTGAACACGAAGATATTCTAATCCCTGTGTTGGTGGTCATAACTTTGTTGCGCGTTTGTGTTGTCGTATCTCATGCTTGGTTCGCTGCACTGTTTGTATAACAGGACGTGACCGCATCTGAGATGCATGCTGCTTCTATTCATGCTGCTAAGTGCGACTGACCAATGAAGTGCACAAGCAATGCATGAGAATTACTTCGACATACAGATCATGCTTAGATACAAACGAACCTATACTTTCCTCAGGCGGACGAAAGAACACATGAACACACGAGCGAGCAAGCGAGCCGGGACTGGTCTCCTGACACACATCTCCAATCTAAACAAACCCGAGAAAATCAAAAGGCAAACACTCACTTGACTCAACTCAGTCAAGGACCGCAGAAGCGGGGGAGTTATGAATGGAGAGCCACACAACGAACGACAAAGAAACTGGGTGTCGCAAAGTTAGCTTGACGGGCGCTGCCAGTGAGCACTTGAAGGAGCATTTTCGTCATGATGTCAGAGTGATCGAATGACAGCAAAGTGCAGACAGTGAGCAGCTATTGTGTGCCGATGGCTATCTCGCTGTATAGAGCAGAAGCCTGTGGCCACAGGGACGCTTGCAATATCTTGCGTTCCCTTGCACGAACGAGTCGCAGTATGCTCTTCTCCGCGTGTCTAGCTCGTCCCACGAGAAATCACACACCGAAGGAGGATGCCAATTGCTGGCATGCGCGAGGCGCAAGCGCAGCTGAGCCACTATCACAAGCCCGGCAGATGTCTGAAACTGCAGAACTTGCCCGGAAACAATCCAATGACTGCACAGCAAACCGCTCCTCGAGGAGCAGCGCACCTTTTGCCACCCTGCAAGCTGCATGTTACGACAAATTGTCAATACAGTGTACTTGTGAGGGCTTCGAAGCCCTGCCATGCAATCACTCGACGCAAAGGTGGCAGAAAGCTCTTCTGCAAGCCACGCCTGAAATAGCCCATTTCTCCCCAATATTCTCCCCAAGAGTTCCTGGCAGAGCACAAAGCCAAACCATCAAGTAAAGCACACACACAGCTCAAAGACCTGAAATCAAAGCAGCGAGCCGAGTTTCACTTCCAACATGGGTGCTTTACATGACACAGCAGACTACAAGACAGTGTCCTGACGATCCAATACATGCCATCCTCAGGGCGACATGACTAACCGCAATGCAATTCAATTCATCCCCAAGGCTGGACAGCACGAAGCCGGTATTATCTCGCCACCTTGGGATCAGTTCCCCAGCCAACCACAGACACGACATGATCGACGCCCTCGCCCTTCGTCTTGATAATGCCTGCGAGAATGCCACATGCATGCGGAAACAAATTGGCACAACACCGCCTTTGCTGCAATGTACGAATGTACGACATGCACGATGTCATTGTGTGCCAAGATGCCAGACTCGTAGTTCAGCAAGGGGTTGGCATCGACACCGCATGAGATAGGACCACGGTGAAAGATCTCCTTCATCATGGCATCAGCGCCTTCGTTCCCACAATTGTGACGGCTATCTGTTTCGATCTCAACTGATCTCAGGCTCTGGCCACTAATGGAGCCATAGTCTGAAATAGTCGCGTTGGGAAACTCACCAAGGCCAGTGCCTAGAACTCTCTCGTGTAGTCGCAAGAACCAGGCAGCTAAGCCCAAGCAGCGCCGTCCACGGCAAACAGGAGCCGTTCACAGCAAAGCACAACTAAGCGGAGCAACTTCCGTGGCCGAGGCACATGGCCCTCCCTCCTGCGAGAAGCTGCCACAGGTGCGGGCCACGTTGAGCGCCTAGACCGCGCAGAAGTGTGATATCCAGCTGCAGAGGTTGGACAGCGCTTTCTCTGGCCTTGCACGACGTATCGACATGCTTGCAGAAGCCCTCGTCGGAGTCAGAGCTGCAAGCGACGTAAGGGTTCGCTGTCTCGTAGCCTTCCAAGGATTCACGTTTATGGAACTCTTCTGAGAATTCACAAGCCGAGAAGCTGATTCCAGTGCCCTTCTTGGAGATCTCCAGGAGCCATTGGTACGGGCCGTCGACACTGCCTCCCTTGCAGGTTCCCACACCGCCGCAATTCAGCAAGTGCTGAACCTGCAATCAGATTGGGTTTCGACGAAAGCGTTTCGCAGGGTTTTTCCGTGGAGCTGCATTGGACAGCATGGTGTGATGAGTGGTGATGTTGGTGCGAAGCTGCCTCTTGGCCTGCCGTGAGGCTGTGGGGCGTGAGGTCGGATGGCGTATGCCTCTGTTCTCCTGCTGCAAACTAAGATGAATTCCCTTTGAGACACTGGGCCGGGCTGGCCGGGCTGGCTGGAGTCGCAGTGTCGTCAGGCGAGATGGAACTGCGTGTGTCGTGCCGTAACGATTCGACAGGCGAATTGATAACCCTTGCGGTGTTGTCGGTCTGTCCGCGGCTAGCCAGTGCGATCCAATGTAAACTCAAATATTGGTCTCGCATTGGTCTCACGACAGCCCTTTCCCCACGTCTTCCGGTGAAGTGGACAACTCTTCCGGTGACGCCGGCCGGCGTGTCTGCATGGTCCGGTCAGCACCATTGACTGTAAATTCCTGTACGCTGGCCTCACGGGTGATCTCACCAGCATCTCCGAGTGCTGCGCATGTGGTGTCGCAGTGATTTCGGCACAGAGATCTTCGCATACTTGGGGGGAAGACTTTGGCACGCCGCGACACGCGTGTCTCTGAATCCCAAACAAGTGCCTAGTTTATGGGAGGATTGACAAAAGGGTGCATGGATGGATGGATGGATGGCTGGATGGATGGATGGCTGGATGGATGGATGGCTGGATGGATGGATGGATGACTGGATGGATGAATGGCAGGGGATGGGTGGATGGGGATGGACGGATGGTAGGGATGGATAGAGATGGATAGGGATGGACAGGGATGGATGGGGATGGATAGGGATGGCTGGGGATGGAAACGATGGATAGGGATGGATAGGGGGATAGGGATGGATAGGGATGGATGCGGCTGGACATGGATGGATGGATGAATGGATGGCTGGATGGGTGGGTGGATGGGTGGGTGGATAGATGGATGGATGCATGGATGGATGGATTGAGGGAGGGACGGATGGACGGACGGATGGGTGAATGCATGTATGGTTGTATGGATGGATATATGAATTCTTGTCCGGGCTTGCCTCGCTGCACTAATCGATTTCGAGACACAGACAGGCTTCACGTGTGGCTTGTCCAAGCCTACAGTTGTTCAGGGCACCAATCTTCGTACAAAGAAATCAACCGGAATTCCACCAACGAACCCAAGGACTTACAGCTTGCCTGTGATGCAGCTGAGCTGCTGCGAGGTTGATGTCAATTCCTTGCGCGTTGCGCGCGATTTTGATGCGGTCGCCAAGAGCCGAGATTGCTCCATGAGCCCAGCAGGAGCCACAGTACTCGCCAAGGGACACAACATGCAAAGCAAGGGAAGGACTCGATTGGTGTACAGTCGGTCCTGCGGAATATGCTGATTCCGAGACATGGTGCAGTAGCTCCTGGAACAACATGTGCCGAAAGGGGCCGCTAGGAAGTGTTGCATTTCTCAGGTCGAGGCTTGCCATCTTTGTTGCACCAGCTGAAATCCGAGGGGTACTCGGCAGCTTCAAGCAGCTCGTGGGAGCCTCAGCCAGGCTCCGGCGGTTGACCTAGAAACCCTTGGCTCACCTTGGCTCAGGGCTTTGATGTGTTGCATTGCCACGCCATTCAACCCCCAGCTTCTCCACCTGCAACAACGTCACAGAGCCGGAACAAGCCTGTGCAAGTCAGCGAACGTCGGCTTTACCTGCCTCGGCACGTGGAAGCAACTCGGAGCGATGGCGGCGTCCACGGGTAGCGCAAGTGAACACGGCCGGGGGAAGCTTTGCGGCCTTGACAGCAACAGAAGCCCCATCCTCATTCAGAAATAGAACTGGGTGCCGAGCATTCTCCTTGGTGTAGCATGCACTCGGAACTGCCGATGCCTGTTGCGCGTTGAAGGAAAACCCGGTGAAAGGTGTGGCTGGACCGATGATTTGCGACACAAAACCAGATGGTGAAACTGCTGCCAGCACCACCTCGCACCACGTGCACTTGGTATCAGCATCGCAGTCTGCCTTGGCCTCACACGATGTGTCGGAAGCAACTCTGCTTGCCACGTGGGTCACAACACACCTGGCCTTGTGCGATGAATGGCATGCATCATCCTGAGCTGCTGCAACGCCGAAGCCCAGAACCGCGACTGCCTTGAAGAACTTCATCCTGCAAAAACTACACGTCTGAAACTGCTTACTGGGATACCTCAGCGACAGAAAAGTGGGGTCCTGCTTACTTCTAAGCTGAAGGCAAAAGCTGCTGGATTTGAGCCCGAATTGCTGATGAATTCAATGCAAAGCTGGGCGCTTGGGCAATGAATGTATTCGATGAACTATCAGGCAGGCGACTGTGCACCTGCCTCGTTGAAGAAAGTTTTGGCAGACTCCCGGATGGACACCACTTGATCGCTTGCCAGACCCAGAGGTACCTGAATAAGCACTCAACTTGAGTATGCCCATGCCAAACACAACGATCTTGCAGAATCCGCTCACCGACCAGCAAACCGGTCGTCACGGAGCAAGCAATGATAGCTTGGGCCAGGCAAGCCAAGCTGCCTGGCTTGCCATGACAACCACACTACCGACTAATGCCGTATCAAGATCAGCGCCATCACCATCAGAGCCTATTGTCACCCTGATCATCAGCATCATCATCATCTTTATCAGCATCATCCATGGTAAAAAAAAGGTATTGTGGAGCCGCGCCCCCTTGTTGACAACTAACTATTAAACAGACGTCGGTTGCTTGCCTTCTGAGGCTGCTATAAAGTCGCCTGCTGGAAAAGGTTTCATATTGGCCTTCAAGATGATGTTTCGTACGTCGTGCGAGTCGTGCTGATGTCAACAGCCCTTAATGATGCGTAAAACTTGGCTTTGACGTCTTTTTCTCGTCGTTATGCCCATAGGCAAAAGCGATTAAGGCACCATGATACTCGCACTCCAGGCCCAAAACCAAAACCCCTAAATATTCCCGCTGTCTTGTCCCAGACGACTTATCTACAATAGCTTTGCACAGGACCCCCAGCCCACACAAATCCTGCAAAAAAAGGGATGCACAACCCTAACATTAACAATCAAATCGCAACCCGTAAGCTCACAAAACCTGTACAGAGCCGTTTTTGCATTTATGCGGCCGTTGACCACGGAAAAGCAAAGCACTTCCTAAAGCCTAACCGAAAGCCCGGAAAACCCCGGGTACTTTGCCGAATTGGAGTGCAAGGCAACAATTTTGCATAGGGCCACCTCCTTCATAACGAATGCGCAACCGCGCTCAAATAGATAAGGATGAATCAGCTTAGACTGCCGTCCCGAACATATTCACTGTATGATCACTCCTATCATGACTGAGACTACTGCGGTTCCACCGTCTTCGTCGCTGCGACCGTTACAATCAAGCACAAACAACACCATGGCAAGAATCACTCTCGTCATGATCGACAAACCACCGTTTCTATGCTGTTATGATGGACATGGTTCTCATATCATTATCATCACCAGCACCGGCATCATCATCTTCATCGTAATGTTCAATATTGTCATCATGGAACCATCTGCGCTGCAAGACCTGACCAGGTTCCGGATGCAGAACCGGTGCAAGAGTGGCGGCATCAGCAGCAACGGCAGCACCAACATATTTCCGGATACTGCGGCAGCATCTGGCGGGCATCTTAAAATGCCTCTCTTGAGCTGCGCACTGGCTTAGAGCTCAATCGTCTCAATGCCAATCGCAGAGCCATGCCTCAGAACAGGAACGGAACTGCCCCACACACACCCACACACAGACACACCCAGCTTCGATGCTACCACTCATGCTACTGTGGTCACCGACATATCCGGACATATCCACAGTACCGTGCAAACGCCTGGCCTGAAGCTCTGCAAGCTTCTGCCTGCTGGAAGGCGCAAATCTCTATGATGGGCACGCTGGACCAATAGCGGTTGAGCCGAATGTTCCATGCCAGCTAGTTGTCGACATGCTGCACTGCCGGAGCCTGACCCAAATATCGTCGTGAAACAAGAACTGGCCGGGGTTTAATCTTTTCACAACGTCGGCTCGAATGCTCACGTGCTTCGAAAAGGGCAAGATTCACACAGCCATCACGAACGCCAAAACGAACAACGCAGATGGTTGCAACCGTCGTTGTAGGCACTCATATATGCCTCGTGCCACAAGAAACCATCAGGCGAATTGTATTCGGAAGCCTTTCAAAGCTGTGGCACTTGCGATGGCTCCTTCGGAATACCAGTACATGTTGCATCCTCTTCCAGTGTTTAGCGGAGTCTGCTTCTCCGCTGCGTGCTGTACGCGGACGCGTCTAGCTCAAACTCGAGTTCTACACTCTGTTTCCGAGCCTTTGTCATCGTTGCAATCGTCTTCGAAAAAGAAGCGACGAGAACTGAGAGGACTCGTGCGAAACAGCAGAAGCATTGAAAACCGAGGGTGCAAGTTTTAAGCCGGTGCTGTGGATTGTCTGGGTGGAATCTGGATCAATCGTTTGAGCTTTGATCTGAAACTTTTTCCTTTCCACAATGAAAGTGCTTCTGCGTTTCAAAGTTAAATCAGATCGAACTTGACTCAGAATACCAGTTTTTTCGGATTGTTCCAGTTGGAGTTTCAAAGTTGAACTACGGAGCTTTAGATTTTTGGTGAAAGGCGTGTATTCGTTCCATCAATCAGCACAAGAAAGCAATCCTGAATCATCAACGCTGAAAATCATTGTGTTTTCGGGAAGTAGCTGAACTTTGCTGCCGTCCAATCAACCCATTCCGGAATTGATTCGCGCGTTGGATCCCAGTCGGAGAAAAAATACAAACCAACAAAACATGGACACCGTTTATCAAGAAGTTTCATTCATGTCAAGGAACCATTGCACACAAAGAAGTCCCCACCCTGCCGCCACATGCTGATCCAGCATGCTTTGCCCAAGAAAACTCCATGTACAATCCGTGCAATGTTCGTGTTGTTTGATGAATAAAGCGGGAGTGCTGCAAACAGGTTTCCATTTTTTGAGATAAAAATTTCCACAAAATCTTTTCCAATCAATGCAATTCGAAAAACATGCAACCGGTCCGTGTTTGCAATGAATGAAAATTTTTTTTTTTTGGGCGGCCCTATGCAACTCGCTCAGCAACAACTCCGCAGGAACTCAGGTCTGTGAGAGAACTACGTAAGAGTGTGCTTCTAGGAGTCTTGCACGTTGGCAACCTCACTAGCGTACTCCAAAAGTGGCGGTCTACAGCTGTTCTGTAAGCTTGTAGATAGGAGTACGGGAAGGTAGGGCTGTGAGTGGCTGGGGGTTTTGAGGACTTTAAAAGCCAGTGCCAAAGAAGCTTGGTGCACTGTTCTGTCCAGTGGACCCTTCGCCTACCTGGCCTAAGGCCTGCTCCTACCGTTCCCCCTCTGTACTGAAAAGACCTTGTAAAATAGCAGTTCCGTTCTATACTGTTCGGAAGGGATCTAAGAATGTGTGCTTTGTGGATGTGGTGTGTGAGAGGGGGCTGTGAGGTGAGTGCTCTCACTTCTTGGTTGGTGTAAGTGCGAGCTGTGGGGTTGAGGACTTCGGTATAGTAGGTGCTTTTGAAGTGTAAGATTTTGCGAAGTGACTGTGAGTGGAAGGCCTCTAGCCTGTGGTAATCTCCGGCTGTGAGGGCTGCAGATTCTAAACCGTACGTCACCAATGGGATGAAAACCGCATTGTAGATGCGGAGCTTCCACTTCAGTGTGAGGTCGGTGTTGCGCCAAAACTGGTGAAGTGAGTGGAAGTGTTTGCGGGCCTTGGCGAGCCGCGTGGTGACGTCCTTGTGAGAAGAGCCGTTGCTGCTCATGAACAAGTTCCCACACTTTTCAACTCCACTCTGAGCCTGTTCGAGCAACGCGGAGCGAAAGGTCTTCGACGTGAAAACTAGAGTCAAAAGCTACTACTGTACACGTGTGTGCATACTGATACCAAAACATACTCGTACATACTACCACGGAGTGACACAGTTGTTCACCCCGCCTGATATGCGAAGCTCTCCTGGCTTCCGCAGACCATCACAACTTTAACTGCGCAGCGGCTTGCAAGACAAACTTTGGCACACACACACTGTAGCAACTCATATATACAAGCTAAGCTAAGCTGAAGCTTGCCACTCAGGGAGCACGAAAGGCTCCTCACTCACACACATGGGCACGAAAGGCCCGCAGGGCACTAAAGGCCCGCATGAAAACCATTGGCACTCCAGGCCGCATCATTGAGCACGCCAGGCTCGTATACATATAACAGAAAGCTCCAAGCTTATCCATCAAATGCATGCGTCGGCAGATGACACTCCCTGCAGCGGTAGTAAGCTTTAAACACTGAACCACGGATTGTATGGCAGCTCCTCGCATGAAAGCACCTGCCATAGGTCGAAACACACACCTCCTCGGGCACTGGCGGCACTGCTAGCCGCTCATAGAACGACAATTGTAAAGCCGCATTCTCATCACGAAGACTGCGGATCTCACGTTTGCCTTCTTTCACATCTGCCCAAAGCGCATCGCAAACCTCAGCGAGCTTCGAGAGCTCGTCAAGTTTTCCGCGCAGCCACTTAGTAAAATACAACATCGCTGCAAGACAGAAGCATATTGCGCAACCATACAGCGTAATCGTAGTGTCACGTGTGGCGCCACGCCAGGGCGCAAGAATAGAAAGCAATTCCGAATCACATGCGCAATAGCATTCAACGCTGCTTCGTTCAAGCATTGCATGTACACTCAACGCTGAAATACTGGGCTCATCTCCAAACCATAGCTCTGACCCAAGGCTCAAGAAGCAGAAATGAAAAGCATGAGCAGGCCACTACAGGCCCGCATGATCACCATGGCAGCTCGTCCAGGCCACCACGGGCGGCTGCCAACAAACAGCCAATCATCATCGTCTGCGCTCGCATCGTTCGCGAGCCCCGCACTGACCGAAGCTGTGCGTGAAGCCTTCGAAGTCGCACATGAATCCCGGACTCGCTCAAGAGTTCACCCCACTCATCAAGGCCTACTGCAACGTCGGAGTTTGCAGAGTCAACGAAATTCTGAGCACCAAGCATCGCTCGAAATCGTCGTTCCGATAGCACCTTTGTTCCCAAATCAGAAGGATTGATATGGCCGGAAATGGGCTTGTACGACAACACCTTGTTCTGAACCTTTT